ATAAAAAAATTTTTTTATAATTTTATGGGGATTGTTTGAAATAAGTATAATAGTCTCGGTAATACATTCATTTTTATCGCTGCTATTTTCCCTACTAGTGATAGTTGTAGTTTCCTCCATAATTCTAGATCTATTTTTATTTGTTGCACTAATTTTGTATAATTATTTTCTTTTATAGTTGAGCACTTTGCAGAGCCATATTCCAAGATATTTAACTTTATTTGAATTTCTTCTTCCATCCTCCTAATTCTCTGCCTGTCTTTATTTTTTATTAACTCTAGTTTCTTTTTCGGCTTCTTGTTTTTGGTCTCACTTCCTCCTCTCTCTGTTGCTCTTTCTCCTCCTACTACTTTCTCCTTGTTCCCCTTCCGTTGTTTTCTGTTGTTGTTCTTCCTGGCTCCTCCTTTCTGCTCTGTTCCTCTTCCGGGCCTACTAGTTGCTCATATAAATCTTGTGCCTTCTCCAGATTGTCAACTTTTATCCTTTTCTCCTGCCAAGTTATCAGCATCCCTTCAGGTACCCACCACCTAAATAGTATATCTGGTTTAATCAGTTGTGTCACCAGAAATCGATAGTCTCTCCCTTGCTCCCCCACTCTTCACGGGATTTGTTTCAGGGTTTTTCACTCTTTCCCTTTGTATACCATCGGCTCGTCTCTTGTTATTCTATAAATTATATCTCTCACTTTTGTCCTTGCAAATCTAATGTGTACTTCTCCAGGCAATCAGTATCTTCTGGCATAATTAGTGCTTACCCTGTATATATCGGCCAATTCATTTAGGATCTCATGCTTGCCTCTTTGTAACATCTCTATTAATTCCGACATTATCGTTTGTAAATCTTCCTCTTTTGTCTCTGTTACCTTCTGGAATCGGAGATAAAATGCTGCATGTTCCATTTCCAGGTGGATGAGGGAGTCTTCTTAGTTTTTGGTTGATGTTTTCATCTGATGTTCAACTAAGTCTAGTTTCTTCTCTGTTTGTTCTGTTCTTTTTTCTACCACTTTTATTAACTGTTCATTTTTTCCAGTGTTTGTTGTGTTATTCCCATTTTATCATCTAATTTCTGTATGTCATTTTTAACTTCATTTTTCATTTCACTCATCTCTATTTTCATTTCATTCATATCCATTTTCAATTTACTGGGGTTTTTAGCTACTGCCTCTTGAAGCTTGGTCATAGTTTCTTGGATGGTTAACAATGCTGCCTGCACATTTTCAATATTCGATCCGGAATCTGGTTTTTCCATTGTATCCATTCCTTCTGTTGACCTTTGGGTTGCTGGAGAAGCAGTCAATACCTTTGTCGCTGGATTTGCAGTTGTCTTTTTCCCGTCTTTCAGTGATGTTGTTGTGATACTCGTCATCTCTTTTAAAATTTTATTTTTTAGTATATTATGTATGTTGTCCCAAATTAGCATCCAATGACTTATTTCACTAATTTAGTCGATTCGTTCAACACCTTTTCTTTTACTTTTTTTTAAAGTTCTGAGTTGAATTACTTTTCTTTTCAGTCTTTGCAAAATTGTCCACACTCTTCTGTTCTAAATAGTTCTAGATAATTTCAGCACAGCTGTTGCATCAGCCTTCCCCTTCCATTTCGTTGTCCTCTTCTTTTTCCTGCTATCTGTCAGCCGCCGCCCCCAAGCACACCACCATTCTCCAAGTCCTCCTTCTCTCTCGGTTTCTTTTCCACCACTTGAGTCTGTATGTCTTAGTGTCAGTTCGTGCTCTTTCTTGTTGTCTCCCCTCAGATCGCTCACTTACGCCAATTAGTTCTTTTGGGCCGGTCTTTGCCTCTAAAAATCTGCCGCTCTCATTCCTACAGGTAGCCGCTCAGTTATAGGGCTCTCACCCGATCTCTAGAGACTCACTGCTTTGCCTGTTCTTCTCTGCGGTCTTCCTTTTCTGCCCTCACCGCTGTTTCCACTCGCAAGCCAATCCACTAATCCACTTGATGAAACAGGTTGATTAAATTCTTCCTTCCCCTTTTAGTTTGTCGAGACTTCATGCCCGCCACTGAAACAAGGCAGACGCTTGCACGCCAGATTAAAAGGGTATCCCCATGTTGTAGCAGGTGGTCGCCTTCCGCCTAGTTAGTCCTAGGGTTTTCCTACTCCTCTGTGTCTTTCTCCAAGATCAGCGTACCCCCGCAGGGGTCCTCCAAACATGTAGATTGAGATAAGAAGTCAGAGCCTTGATTTCTTTCCCACACTCGTCCCAGACGTCACCACCCGGAAATACTGTTAAGATTTTCAATGTAGTAAATGAAATGTAAAAATATGCCACACTAGGATTAAGTCACACTTCCCCCTTCTGTAAGAGGTACCTTTTGGGATGGCTACAGCCATACAGGACATCATGTGTGTATGCTGTGCTCTTCAAAAGTGGACAGACTTTTTTTTAATTTTTAGTTTCATTTTTAATTTGGTTTCAAATATACTGCTTTCGAAGTATTATTTTATTTGTGGTTTGGTAATTTAAAAAGCTACCACATTTTCGTGTAGGTTCATGAGGAGTCTGGGAAGGATTCCAGACTGCATCTGGAAGCAGCAGCTTAGGAAAAGTCAGGAAAGGGAATCTATGAGACAATGGTGGGAACGAAGATGGTTAAGGATGCACAATTTGTGTTCTTACTTACTAGATCATCCCAGTCTAAATCCACCTGATTAAGCCCATGGAAGGTCTTCTTGGATAACTGCTATATTCCCCACCGAAATATAACCATCCCCAGGATAAGACCGTTGAACATCAACATCATTATCTTAGAAAGATGCTCACCTGGTCTTTCTGAAATAACAGTATTTTTTCCACTGGAGGACAGACGAAATGGTTCTCTAAAAGTTGCATGTACTTCAGATCCTGCAGCCTTTTTTGGGACTTCTTTTCCTGATGGTAACACTGAAAAACATTCATTAGCAGAATATGAATATTTAACCTAGTAATTTTGTGAATGTTAGGAAGTAGGTTTAGAGGCACAAGACACAATGAAGTATCTTCTTTCAGGGCATCAGTAAAGTTTTTCCATAACTTCCAACTGGAGGGGGATTTTTATATATATTTTGCCCAGGAAATAAAGGACGGGTTGAGAAATCATCTGCACCTAATTTTCTAGAAATAGCTGTAGGTGGAGGAGAAAATCTACTCAAAACCTGGAACCGTATTACACTACATCAAAAATAACCCTCGCTTTTTACAAGCCTCTAGTCCCTATTTGGGATAGAGTTGGAGTGATTGGATGGAGCTGAGTGTTTACTGGCTGTGTGTCCTTCCTGATGCCTATGTGGAATACACAGCAGATATTTTTTCTTTGTGCCCTAGGAGAGAAACATCTGCCGCTACCTAGGATTGAACTCTCCACCTTCTGAGTGAGAGTCAAGCATCTTCACCATTAGGCCGCTCTAATATTATCCTACATTCTTAAAAGAAAACCGGTCTATTAAAATTCTCAAAAAAACCACGTATTTTGCAGTGCACAAAGGATGATCCCTCAGTTAGGGGTGAAATCTGCACAGGTTGTATAGATGAGTGAACTGACCTATACTCACTGGTAAAGCTTTTTTTTAAATGAAACATATAGAGTTTTTTTGCAGGAGAGATGACAACCGCCCACACTTGAGATTGTCAAAGTGTTCCTTGTACAATAACCATTTCATCAGTCGCATTTGGCTGTTTTTTCCAGAGCCTGCTCACCTTCATTTCTCAGCGAAAACAAATAAGCTGTGTCACCAAGCTTGATCAGCTCACTTGTAGATTCTGACCCACCAGCCTCCAAAGACGGATCAAGCAGCTCTGATGACTGAGAAGATCTAAACAGAACACAATACAGTAAGGTGCTTTTTATGATTTGGCCACAAGGTGGTAGAATACATAAGAAGCATCAATCAATCAATGCCTTCAGTCCTACAGAAATTAAGGGGGAAGGGATGTTGCCAATATATTAGAACCATGACAGAAACACAGTGAGAAAAAGGTTAACTTCGATTTTCTAGCTGAGCACTTATTTTGTGAGGGGCAACTGGTGCCTTCTTTCCTGTGCCCGGCTTTTTTCATGAGAGAAGGTCCTCGGCTGGGCATGGATGTAGGAGATGCCAGAGAAACCTTGGCTGCACCAGTGTGAAAAGTAATGGCGTGAAAGGCCCTGAATGGTGCAGGAGTAGCATGTGATATGGTGGCAGGCAGGGCTGGATGTAGGGGCAGCTGACAGGAGCAGGTAGTTAGGCAGCCAACAGGGCAAAGAGGGAGGGAGGAAGATTGGGGGGGTGATGTTCAAAGTAGGCAGCCCCTTACCTTACAAAGGCTCCGAGCTGGGAAGGGACCAAGCTATGAATGGCTTGGGCTGGTGGGTCCTCACCTAATGCTCAGATTCAGTTAAGAAGACCATCAGTTAACAATGACTGCCAGGGTTGAAATAATTAAGCAATGTCGTGTGACATCATGCTTTACAAAGGCATTGCTTAGCAACAGTAATTCTGGCCCCCATTACCATTGTTAACCGAAGACTACCTATAATTTGTTAATTAAGCTACTTCGAGTCTTTCCAATGCATCCCCCAAATATGTATAACAAGTTAAATCTAACTTCAGATGCAGTGATAAGAAGGTAGCAAGTGTTGCTCTATAGTAATTTTCTCAAGCAACTTGGAAGAGAAAGAATACATTTTTCTGGCAATTCATGCTAATTCATACAGAATGTGTCAGGAATAGTTATGGCAACCTCTGTCAACATATAGAATATTTTAAAGGTGTAGCCAACTGTACATGCCAAAGGTGAAATATCTGAAAAGAGCCTGAACAGTTGCATTATTCCTTATTAATGCTACCTAACAACTACTGAAACCAACTACTCGGTGGTGGAGTGGTTAGAGTGCAGTACTGTAGACTACTTCTGCTGAAAGCTGTCTGACTGCAATTTGGCAGTTCAAATCCCACCAGGCTCAAGGTTGACTCAGCCTTCCATCCTTCCGAGGTGGGTAAAATGAGGAGCCAGATTGTTGNATGATAGGTACATCTAAGTGCTATTCCAATTGCTGTTTTAAAATTTAAATTACAAAATAAACTACAAATAAAAGCTTATACAATTCAGTTTTGCCATTTCTCATTTAAAAAGCTAAAATCAACAGCAAATTTTGACTGAAACAGATATTCCAACTATAGAAAAACTGTACTAATTTCAGATAAAATTTCATACGAGGTTCACTTATTCCTTTTCCCTACGTATTTTCCCATCCCATATCATGTCAACTTCATATATTTCAAAAATATGCTCCCACTCTTTTCATTCAACAAGATGTGGTAGATTTTCACAATTTCCAAATATGTTGACATTCAAGTCTCATGGTCTCTAGTTAGCTGGCATCCTTGGCACATTCCTATCTAGCAAGTGTTTATTGGAACTGAATTTGATTCAGTCGCTTGAGAGGGAGATGGGAAGCATATAAATTTAATAGATAAACCTAAATAAAAATTCCAGTAATTGAGAATCACCCAGAGCTACTCTGTGAGTGAGATGGGTGGTCTCTAAATTAGATATATCAATAAAGTAAAATAAAATTACAATTCCAACTTGAGGGCACTGAATTGGGGAAGGCTGAGATATTTGACTTCCTCCACATACACACACTATTTTGTGTGTCCAAGACTTGATTACTAGATTCCCAGTCCATATTTTCTGATGAATAGGAAAGCCAGGAAGGATTTGTTTATTTTATTTCTATTACACACTTCTTAGCCTCCCTTCTCTCTTGATTAACTTGGACAGCATTCCATCAAATCTCCCAAGCTTATGAAAACCTACACTGCATTGAATGATGAGAATTAAACAAAAATAAATATCACACTTACAACAGTAGGTGGCGTTTCTTGAGGTTTAAGTGATAATAAAGGTGGTGAGGAATCCCTGTCTCCAGTGACATTGTTCCTTTCAGCTAGATAGGAGACTCCACTGACGGAAGGTTGGTAGGGGGGCTGCAAAGCAATTGCTGGACGGATTGGGTCCCCAAGCTTCTTAGCACTGGAACTCAACTGCTCTTCAGACAATTGAGCAGATTTGGCTATAGCTTAAAGGCAAATAAGGCAGACAATACTGTGATTCAAACATGTAGAATTAATATGCTTAGAATATATTATTGGGGGACTTTCCTTAGTTAAAGTTAAAGGCTTCCCTTGCACATAGGCGCTAGTCATTCCTGATGCTAGGGGGCGGTGCTCATCTCTGTTTCAAAGTCGAAGAGCCAGCGCTGTCTGAAGACGTCTCCGTGGTCATGTGGCTGGCATGACTAAATGCCGAAGGTGCCCGAAACGCTGTTACCATCCCACCAAAGGTGGTTCCTATTTTTTCTACTTGCATTTTTACATGCTTTCGAACTGTTAGGTTGGCAAAAGCTGGACAACCTCACTTCATTAAGCAGGGCTAGGGATTCGAACCGCTGAACTGCCAACCTTTCTGATCGATAAGCTCAGCGTCTTAGCCACTGAGCCACCGTGTCGCCTTTCCTTAGAAAATGTTAAAAGCAAGTATTACTGGTAGAAAGGTATGCTGGCTGAGTTATTTCCTTCTCATATCTTTTAGAATACTGTTAAGATTTTTTTTTTATTATTTTTTTATTTTTTTTCCTTCTATACTACCTTACAGTCATTATATCAACATTATGTCATAATACCTGTACATGTAAATATTATTTCGCTTCTATGTTTATAAACCTTTATACACAGCTATCTATCTATCTATCTATCTATCTATCTATCTATCTATCTATCTATCTATCTATCTATCGTTTTTCAGCTTAATTAATTTTATTCTTGTTTTGCAGCCATTTGTACAAATTGTTCCAAATTTCATAATATTCCGACTCTTCTTTGTCTTTTAATTTCAGTGTTAATTTGTCCATCTCTGCACAATCCAAATTTTTTTGTATCACTAATTCATCCGAGGGGATATTATTTTGTTTCCAGCATTGGGCAAACGCTATTCTAGCAGATGTGTTAATATGTACTTAATTTTCTTTGTATATTT